AATAAATGTTTAGTCTTCCGGTGAACTGTAGTTGCGACTCTTCAATTGGTTGTATTTCATTTAATTGAAAAGCTTTTCCGTTCGCTTATTATTGTGATTAGATGCAGCTCCATATTGAACTCGGCTGTGGTTTACTGCAGCGCTCAACCGATTATTTACCTATCATAAATTACGCACTTATCTGCACATCATAACCGGAGGAGCGGTTAGGATTTTTTTTTTAATTTTTGTCACAAAAAAACTAAATTCGACAGATCTGAGACGAAAAATTGACTGGTTGAAAGACTTGACACATTTAGTCATAAAAGTGGTCACTTTTGGTCTAATATATTAAACACTTTTAAAAAACACGTAAAAATTTATTACTTCAGTGTTGTTTTTTAATTTTGGATCAAAAAGCACACAAGGTTTGTAAGAAAATATCTAAAAATCTACGAAAAATTATAAATAGGCAAAAGTGTGTTTTATGTAATTTTTTTTCTTACGACCTAAGACTGAGATAAAATAAAATAATTGTTTAATGTTTAAAAAAACGTGAGTGTAACTTTGTAGTGTGTATTATGAGAAAATACACACTACAAAGAACGCTCTAAAAATAAATAAAAAGAGAAACCTCTTTTAGAAGCCCGAAATGATTCAGAATAGGTATTATTTTCAAATTTTATTTAAGAAATATGCTAAAAAATAACAGAGACACAAATTTGAAATTAAGAAATTTTGTACTGTTGCCCTGAAGAAAAGTATAACATTTTTTTTAACATCCTGCAACTTGTGAATAAAGAACCAAATATTTTTGTTTTTAATTTTCGTTTTTTTTAAATTAAAATAATAGTGCGCCTCAGAAAAAAAATTAAGTGAGATAAAATTCCAGAAACATGGAAAATATGTTTAAAAAATTCTATCTGTCAAAAAAATTTGACATTTATTTTTCGACATTTGATTTTTTTATGTCATTTAAAGAAGATGATTGTGAATAAAATACAAACCTTGGTGGTCATCGTACCTCGGCTTATTTCTAAACCTTGTCATCGGTAATGAAACACCTTCCACCTCAGTATGTAATCTACTATTACAATATTCGTTTATATATTTTTTTGATTCTTTATTAATTTTATAATTTGTGAAAGAAATATGGGTTTTAGAAATTTCCATGAACTCAAGAGACATAGCATGTTGAAAATGACATAATTTTTAAAAGTTTTAGCACGTTTTTCACCCAAAAACATATTGTTTTCAAAATTTGGCTTAAAAATAACCCAGAAAATATCAATAAGTCGAATTTTTTTAGCGGTTTAGCATGTTTTTCAGTTAAAAACGCAATATTTTGCGACATTTTGTCAAAGATAACTCGAAACAGAACCAAATGATGTTGAAAATGACATAATTTTCGTCTTTTTGAAAAGTTTCAACACGTTTTTGCCCGAAGAATTTCTTCAAAAATTAACTGAAAAATCACCAAATTTTATCATTTGTAAATAAAAGTGGATTTTAGAAACTTTGATAAACTCAAAAAATAATACAAAATCTTTGATACTACAAAAAATGAATGGAATTTGTAGTTTTTCAATTTGACAATACATATTTGTTTTTCAAAATTTGAAGAATTTCTTATTGGCTTTTTGTTCTTTAAAAAAGATGATGAAATTTTGATAAACTCAAGAAACAAAAAAAATGCAAAATCTTTAATATTTTTTTTTATTAGTTTTTCAATTTTACAATTTACAAAATTTGAAAAATTCTTTATTGGCTTTTTATTTTTTAAGGTAGATGATTGTGAATAAAATAGTACACAAACCTTGGTGGTCGTACTTCGGCTTATTTCTAAACCTTGGTCATCGGTAATGAAACACCTTCCACCTCGGTATGTGATATACTATTACAATATTCGTTTTTTATATTTTTTGATTCTTTATTAATTTTATAATTTGTAAAAGAAATATGGGTTTTAAAAATTTTCATGAGCATATTATGTTAAAAATTACATTATTTTTAAAAGTTCTAGCAGGTTTTTCAGCAAAAAACATATTGTTTTCAAAATTTGCCTTAAAAATAACCTGAAAAACATTAACAAGTCGATTTTTTTGAGCTGTTTAGTACGTTTTTCAGTTAAAAATGCCATTATTTTGCGACATTTCATAAAAGATAACTCAAAACAGAACCAAATGATGTTGAAAATGGTCATTTCTGAAAGTTTTAACAGGTTTTTGGCCAAAAACGCCATGATTTCGAAGAGTTTCTTCAAAAATTAACTGAAAAATCACCAAATTTTATCACTTGTAAATAAATGTGAATTTTAGTAACTTTGATAAACTCAAAAAATAATACAAAATCTTTGATACTACAAAAAATGAATGGAATTTGTATTTGTTTTTCAAAATTTGAAGAATTTCTTATTGGTTTTTTGTTCTTTAAAACCTGTTATGTAATCTACTGTTTTACTAGTTTTCTTGAAAAAATCCTTATTTTCAGCGCAAATTACGTTGCATGTAAAAAGTTGTAGATATTACATTTCATCTTCATTTAACAATTGATATGAAGTATCATTATGTCATGTTTTTTAAAATTGATAAATTGTTTATCGGTTTCTTTTCTTGAAAGAAGATGATTGTGAATAAAATAGAAACTAATGTAAAAATCATTAGAGTAGTCAATAATTGTAAATTTCTTGACGCTTTCGAGAGTCTTGAAATATTTAAAAATAGAGATAATCTCATGAATTCAGACAACGGCCCCATTCCCTTTTCTCCCCTCTACTCGTTAGTTGAGGGTAGGGAAAGTGAAAGTCGGAAAATTAGTATATAAGGCATTACCATTGTTAAATTAGTTAGTTTTATTCTCACCTGAGGATGACCACTTTGTGGTCGAAACGCGTTGTGCTATTAAAATAAAAGTTTGGTGTGACGGGCTAATCGTGTTTTTGTTCATAATAAAATAGTAGATATTCAAACCTTGGTGGTCGTTGCTTCATCATGAAGCACTTCCCACCTCGGTATGTAATCTACTATTTTTCTAGTTTTCTAAAAAAATCCTTATTTTTAGCTCAAATTACCTTGCACGTAAAAAGTATGACATTTCATCTTCATTTAACAATTGATATGAAATATTATAATGTCAT